GACAGAAATGTTTTTAACCCAAAAATCCTATTTGGTAAAAGAATGTAGACAAGCTACCAACGTGGATTAACTAATTTCTATTTTCTCAGCTGCGAATTCTGTAGCTGGAATGAAGCTAGTGGGCTAAGTATTTATTGTTTAGCGTTGGTGGCAGCCAACATTTTCTTAAAATCTGTATTCGTACCTTTCTGTTGCTTGCTTTGCAAAATAAAACTAAACAATGTAAACTTGCCAATGTTATTGTGTCAGGCAGGAAACAATTGGTTATTTTGCACTCTCAAGCTCTCTATACGGTTGAATCAAGCAGCATTTGCCTTACGGTTTTGTATCAGCCACTACAAAGAGAGTTGAGTGTGAGCTCTCCTTTCTTATTCCAAGAAGCAATTGAATTGGGGATAAGCTAGAACGTGCTTGAAGGAATCAGTATTCTGGATTTTTCCTTCATTTTAGCTGAACATTGGTTCCCTGTGTTAATGGTTAACTCTGAGTTTGCTGCTTTTATTATGAGATCAACATATAATAACGAACTGGGAAAGATACATGCTTGGCTGTGAATCATTTGCTCTTGATGACTAGTTCTTTAAGTCTTCACATTAAACTTTTTAGACATTAAAGGCACGTCTAGTTTTTTATTAGATAACACTGAATGGTGATCTTTCTTTTAGCACATTTCAGTGGGACAAATAATAAGAGAGTAGTGTTCAACCACAATAAATACTTCTTAATCAAGCTGCTTTTCAGGCAGTTCTTTGTTTAAAAATAGTCTTTGTAAATTTTAGAATCTGTATGCCAAAAAGATCTGGAAAATAACTGCTAAATGCTCAAAGGGTTTTTTTTTTTTGTTTGCTTTTGAAAAGAGAGACAACCTAAGCATAATGCTATCAGTGTTGATTTTTTTTGTTTTCATATAGTACAACTTATTTTCAGTACCACTGCAACTTTGCAAGTTGTATTAAAGCAGCTATTTTAATGGTTTAGATGTGTAGTTCAAGTGAAGACTCTTATTTCATGAATGTTTGTATGGTCTGCATTCCAATTAACTGATTTATGCACTGTCACTGGCAAATTAAAAAAAAAAAAAAAAGAGTCTTAATGTCTTATATTGCTATTTTAGACAGTTGAAATTTCACTTAGGATGCAATAACCAGTGTTAAAGCAGGAAGCTAAACCCCAGCATTGTAGCAAAGACTACAGAGGCACTTAGAAAACATCAGCAATTTTGGGTGGGTCTTTTTTTCCTTTTGCAATCCTTTTATCAGTATTGCTCTTGCAATTCACATTTGAAAATCAGGAAAACAACATTATACTTGCAAAGGGAGTTAATCTATGTCCAAAGCATTTTAGTTAAATTAAAATAAGAACTAAAAAACCCTATTGACTTGTGCCAACTCTTGTTTGAGTCTGGGTTAGACTACCGTGTGGTCTGCAGTGCTGTGAGGGCATGTGAGCCACAGCTGCTGGATTTTGTTAGCTCCTGTGTCTCTGATCTATGCAAACTTGAAGTCAAAGTTCTTTAACATCTCTCTGGCTCTGTTTGCCCATCTCTGAAATCAGAGTGCTTTTTCTTTAGGGGCGTTCACCGCACGCTGCTGGCGGTGCAAGCTGTTGGTTGAACGTATCCAGTATCGGCGCCTTCTGTGCTTTTCTCCTAGTTGGTTCCTCTGTGATCTGCTGCCGAGGCCTCTTCAAGCGTGTTTCCATCGGACAGGACCCCCCTGTATGAAGGAGGCAGGGGGACACTTCCCAAAAGAGACTGCACTTTACCTAGGCAGTGGCTGGTTGCAGAATCTCTGTGCCATTTGCTCTGCTTGAAAGCTGCGTGGCAGGCTGGACTGCGTGAAACTTGCCTGTGTTTTTCAAAATAACAGGAAGAATAATTTAATCGCAAAACATTCATTTAGCTCAACATGTCTATTTTATGAGGATGCAGATGAAGATGTTTCTGTCGTTGCTGGGCTTGCTGTGAAGGGGGGTGCTGCTCACGTCCTAGCACATTTTATTTGGTCCTTAGGTCAAGTGCTTTTGGTCAGCTCTCTAATGTTTTCTGTTAGGGTGAGAATTTTTGGAAATGTATGTTTCTTTAAAGCTGGAATTTTTCAGATTTCCTCCTTAGGATCTGTCATGCACCCAGGCATTGGACTTCTGATCCAGTACAGAAACAGATGACTTGAAACCTTCGTCTAAGAAATAGGAAATATATTAGTGATCATAATGTATTTTTCATCAGATTCATTGTTTATTTTTACCTGAATACCACAGTTCTTTTTTTTTGTGTCTGTTTAGGGTTTGGTTTTGTTTTGGCTTCACATTCATTCATCTAGTTTTCTGCCATTACTATTAGTAACTAATATTTATTTTACATACTGTCGGAGAGAGCTTCCCATTATGTCTGTTATGAGAAGTAGGGAATGAAAAGCTGAAACTTTAGGATAAACTATGTAGACAAGTTGCCTGTTACAGCCTTCTGCTCCCTCGGAGCAAATTTTGTGAAGTGCATGGGCTGAGTCTGGTTGGTGTTTGCTTGCTTCTGAAAGATGCTTAACAAGAGTTTGGCACAGTGTTAGGAAGCAGAGATAAGCACTATTCCTACATCTCAAAAAGGGATGATTATAATTGTGAGAAGGCAGTTACGGAAAACGAAGCATGCAGTTGTGAAATTTCTTCCATGCTGTGTCACTAATGCCATGCAGGCTCTCACTTCTTCAGACCACTAGAGATATTTATGAAATCAGTCCACGATCCTGGAGGTTTAGAGAGGCAGTGTTGTTAGCTAGAGGAAAGTGCCTAAATGGAAAATAAAATTAATACAATTTACAAGAAGATTGCCATAGAAAATGGATGAATTTCCTACAGTCCCCTGTTTTTGCCTGACTGCAAGTGAGAGCTGAGCACAAAGACAAAGCAGAAAGCAAAAATATAAAATAGCCATTTTAGACAACAATAATATTAGGAAAAAAATACTTGAAAACCTAATTTATTTTTAAACCTGGTTGGAAATAATACACAATAAAATGCCAGCCACGTACAACTTGAGCTGTTGGTGGGTTTAGTGTGGTTTTATTTGATCACACAACTCTACTTTTTCAGGCCCTTCTTGTTCTGCTTTGCATGTCTCTTGCTGTCAGATCTTACTGATTTTTGCCTTCCTAAGCCATTTGGTCACCCTTTCACCACTGGCTGTAGCTCTGCTGTGCATTGCTGTCACACCTAAGTGACTCCCTGTCATGAAATCGGTCTTCAGCATAAGGCTTCCTTCTTATAGGTCTGAAATACACTTTACTTTCGACTCTTCTCCGTTCGGGTTGCCTGATCATTTGTCTGGGTTGAAGGTCTGTCTTTAAAGAACTAATATTTTGTTGCTGGCAAAAGAAAGGGGAGGTGAAGGAAGGGTCAGGGTGTGGATCAGTGTTAAACAAATTGTGAAGGTCACAAAGAATTTTAATCTGGCTTGAAAAAGAGACTTGTATCCAGCAGCACTTTTTTGTTTGTGATAGTCTGAATGGACAATTGTGGCTACTTTGAGAATTTGATGTAGACTGCATGACTGGTATAAATTGAATTAGACTCATGACAAGGACATAGTCCCCTTTTTTTTCACTCTGCCTGATGGAAAGCAGAAGAAAGCCCTGTGTGACATGTCTTGACCTGCAGTGTCAATGTGGGCTTTTGTGACGGGCTCTGATTTCTGGCCTCTCATTTGATAAAGCCAATTTGGTGGAGACTAGAAAGGAGGCTTGCTGCAACACAAAATGTACTTACAGAAAAGAGTATCTGGTGGTGAGTACAGATGACTGCCATTCCATCCTAATAATCATTAGAAAGCCAGAGTTTCTTTGTGAAAATGGGGCAAAGTCTTGGGCTTCTATAACATAGAGACATAGTCACACCAGATGATGCACTGTGTAATATCCTGTGCCGTGGTATCACCTTTCTTTGTCCTTTTCTCCAGCCATCCGTCTGCCTTCCATTTTCTCCATTTGCTTATTTCTTCCATTTTTCTTTCCCACTCTTCTGCCTTCCTTTCATATTCTCACACGTCCGTCTTCCCTCCACTTTGTACCCTAAACCGCAGTGAAATCACTCCCTCTTTTCCATGCTGACCGAGCACCAGCAAAGAAGTCACTGTGAGTGCTGCTTTTCCTTAGCCTGAAAAGATTCCACCTTTCTGATTTTCTGTCCGTTTCCCTCCCATTGCTGATGCCCTCCTTCCTGCCTCCATTGCCACTGGTAGATGATTGCGAGCTTGGAAAATTCTAGTGGAAATATTTATAGTGCGTCAAAGGAAAAAGTAACTGAATGCAGGTTGTGTAACAGAAAACAGTAACCTGCAGTGCTCATTGCTCCACCTGCACTCACAATGCAGATGTAATGATTTAAATTGAAACATTTTGAAATCTTTAAGTACTAGAAAGATAATTTGAATAGCTGTTGTTTGGTTGGTTTTGTTTAAACAAGGCTAAAAATTCTGTCGTTGCCATTGATACACAATGCGGTGGGGGTTTTTTAATGCAGTGGATCAAGATCTTTTCACTGTAAATTTACAAAACTGCCGTGTTTTCCCTGAATATTAATTTTGAATAAGGGGCTGCTGTCTGAGCAGGGGTGGCCAAGTATTTTTGCAGTCGGTAAGCAATCAGGAGCATGGTGAGAAAATTGCATTTACACTATGGGGTTGCAATTTCAAGGCATAAGATTTGGCTGCAGGAGCTCTGACAGCGAATCATGGCATTGTGCCAGTGTCGTGACCACACTGAGTGATGTTTTCTGGAAGTTCTGTCATTTCTATCACGAATTCTGGTGGTTTTCGTTGGAGAGTCATTGCAGCTCATGCTACAGACCTCTAGAGGAGATAAAGAAAATTGGAAACACTGTCTGGTGTAACAAATCCAGAAACATTTACTTTTCCAAGCATGTTTATATTCCATTATCTCATGTAGATTTGAGAAATGTGTTCTTTTTGTTAATACAATGTTGTTTTTTTTTCTTCTTCCCTTATTCAGAGACCTGAGTGAAAACCAGATAAAAGGAATCCCTAGAAAGGCCTTTCGAGGAATCATTGATGTGAAGAACTTGTAAGTGACAACTTCATTAATATTTGTGGTGAAAAACATTCTCTCTAGGTTCCATCTGGCTGCTACGATTTGTCCGAGTACCACGCGGTTAGCTCTGTGCAACACAAAAGGGAGCTGTGGACCCTGCTGTGTGCAGCAGGTTATCGTCAAGGGCCTCAGGTGCTGCGTTGGTCCCATGCACCTGGGGAGGTTTTGAGCAAAGGAAGAAGTATACTTAAGGGCTTTACCCCTCCTTGCAATATCATCCTCCAAAAGTCAGTGAAATCATGGTCCGAGCCCTGAAGCAAGATATTCATAAGAAAAGACCTGGTAGAGTTTGGGGGTGAAATTGACATATTTCACTTAGATTAAATTTTCTGTCCCACCATTTGGGTGGGAAGTAAATATAGCAAAATGTGGCATGCAGGTACAGTAGTTTAGCACAGATAACAGAAAATGAAAAGATAACGTGGGGAATTAACTGTGCCTGCTTTGACAGTCCGTATTGAAATTCAAAGGAATTTTTAAAAGCCATTAAAGAGAGAAAAGCGGGTTTTGCTGTTTCTGCTAATGAAGCTAGTCAGCCCTAGCCATTTTCTATAATATACAGTCTGAAATATGTGTAAATAAAGACTTCAGCTGTGTATTTCCAGAGCTACTAGAGGATGCTTATATGTTACATGCCAGAAATGCATTTTTGTGCACGCCCACACGGTGACACACCATTGGCATCATTAGAGTCAATACTACGTGAATTGAAATAGGAAATAACAGCCAGCAAGTTGGCAGAGTCGGGATTTCCTGAGAAAACTTGTAGCCACTCTCAGAACCATTTCAGAGCCATTAGTATTAGCACTGTGTTACCACACCAGTAGCTGAAAGCTGATATCCCACCATGTTAAATATTGTAGGCATAGCACAGTGTGGATTTTTTTGGTTTATTTAGTACAAGAATAAGCTGAAGTAGATCTGAAAAGAAGCACTTTTCTATGAACAATCTTGCAACATACCTGTGCTCTGTTTTCATTTTTTGCCCCACAAACAACCTCTTTAGCGTCCAGCCTAAATTTTTTTCTATAGGCAGCATGGAGACTGTTAAGGGCAGTCAGTGTGAGTCAGAGCATGACCACATTTGCATCCAAGGGCAAAGCACAATTTTTGCACTGTCTCTGGTGATGCTGTGTTGCAGGCAATATCACATCACTGGATTTGTGCCAGGGAGACAGTATTGCAAAAGACCAAAGCAGGACTTCGCCGCAAGTGGAAAACAGGCACAGCAACGCTGTTAGGTGCCCCCTGCTCTCTCTGAGCACTGTGCAAGGCTTTGGGGTAGACAGAACGTGAACACTTTAACACGTCATATAACATTTACAGCTGTATCTGCAGACATTCAGCATACTAAGCTTGTGTTTCTTCAATGGTTTGTTACTTCGTGTATATTCAACAGTGTCTTTTGCTCTTCTGGTATGAAGACTTTTTTACCTGACTGTCAGCCTGAGAAAATACATTTTGAGGAGCCAGTTAAACTCTTCTAAGCCTCTACCCTAACGTACCTCTTCAGTGGAAGAGCATCAGAGGACCCGTGTGAGCAGGTCTAGTTTTTAAGGCACAGGAAAATGCTGGGAAATATAGTTTATACTGGGAAGAAGTTTGTGGATTTTAGACAGAAGCGTGGCTTTTTTTGTCACGTTACTATGAACTTTACTTACATTGTGTAATCTAGAGGAACAATAGATGGTGTTTTGTTTCAGAAAATCTAACTTTCCTGGCTATTATTCACTGTTAGTTGGCTAACTTCATTGAAAATAGCAAAGTTTCCATTCAGAGTTGATTTCACCTGTGACAAACTGTTAGGAAAATCACAGGTGTTCTTTAATTTATGCATCCAATTTCAGTGCAGAAGGAACCAGGGTCTCACCTTTAAATGAGCTGGTATCAAGGGATGGCTGGCTGGGGTGCTTACGGGTATAACTGTTGGGATCTAAAGGTTTAACGAAAAAATTGTGACAGTCAAGTTAGTTATCTCTTATTTTTCTGTGAAAGCCACAGTGCCAGAAGTGCTTCCCTGTAGCCACTGATTCTGTCTTTCAGGAATACTGAAGTTATCACAGAATCATACAATAATTCTGTTTGGAAGTGACCTTAGGTGGTCATCTAGTCCAAGCCCTGGCTCAGCAGGAGTACAGAGCTTAGTAGTCTAATTAATAGGTTTGCTGATGTGAGCCATGACTACTGATTGTTTAGATAAATAGCAGGAGAAGGAGATTTTTCACTCAGATCTCTAGCCCATTTTTCATGATGAGGAATGGATGAATCATGTGTCCAGGGTGGTTCCAGGTGAGTGTTGCTTCCAGACACAGACCAGTGGCCTATGAGTTGCTGAGAGAAATGTGTCAAAATCTCGAGCCAACTAGTTGCTGGGAACACATTAAAATTTCTGCAGCAATAACTGTAAGGTGTGATGCAAGTTGAACCAAGTTAATATTTAAAGCTCTTAAAGCTTTAAGCAGTAGGCTTAAACATGCCAATTCCCATTCTCGGTCTAGATTTGGCAGCCAAATTGCTCCCTTCTGAGTCACAGAAATGACCACGCCAATGAGCCCGAGCGTTCAAGCACCTAGAGGAGGAGAATGAGTCTTTGCCTTTCAGTGCTATTCGGCTGTTTGAACACCTGCACTGCCAATCGCCTGGTGACTCTCTGACACATATGCGCTAACGTGATAGCAGCGGGGTTGGCTGTTTCTATGGTTATCACTTTGCAGATTTAATGTACTATCTCAGAGCTGCTTCACCTTATAAAGCATGTTTGTGAGAGATCTTGGAGACTTTTAGACATAGGAAATAAAGTTACCTATTCTCCCACACTCCCCAACCCTTTCCAGTTTATCTTTAAAATTCATATAGGAAAAAGCTGGCACAGAACTGTCTGTTTGGCTTGACGTTTAACATGGCCTCAAATTCTTCCAGTTTATATATAAAGTGCCCAAATCTCGTGGCAAAAATAATATCTGTGTAGATATTATAACAGGGTCGCAGCAAGTGCTAGACCACGTGGATGTCTCCTAATTAATGCTGTCTTTAACAGCATCTTGGAAAGCTTCCCTCAGGAAAAAATGCAGAGAAGTTGATGCAATAGACTAAGCCAGGGCATGAATTCATTTTGGATGCAGGCTCCTGAATGTGAAGCTTGGTATAAATTACAGTGGGTGCCATTTGGAAACCCTGTGAGAACTACGTGATCTCAGCACGGCCATAGCAATAAGCAACCCAAAGTGGCAGGCTGTGTCCAGTTGGAGCGTACTGCTGTAAAAAAAAAAAAAAAGTTCCTGAATTTAAGGGAAGAGGTGCTGCTGCACGTGCTGAGCGATGAGTCTTTGGTGATGTCTGTCTAACACCAGGAGTGCAGAACAGGCTTGGCACTGATATGATTTTGGTTAGTTAAAAAAGTAAATGCTAAGATGATAGGAAAGAAAAAAAAAAAAAAGTGTTACAGAAAGAAGTGTTTCAGGATATTTTTCACCATGCCTTTCTTTTTAAATGGTAAAAGCATTCTGTCTTTTGTCATTCTTTTAGCAGAGCGGTGAGCGCAGGAAAACGGGCTTGCCTAAGGGCTGTGTTAAAGAAGAGCGTTTAAATGTCAGGGAGGCCAGGGTTTTTGCACGAGCCAGAGCCAAAGCAGAGGCTGGCAAGATGAGGTTTCGAAACTCTCGGATGGGGGGAAATTTTGTTGTGTGAATTATTTTCATATGAAGTGTTTTCTGCTGTTTGACTATAAATTCAAAGGAAGAATCTGCACACAAAGAATAAGTTAGTAAGCCTACTCTAATTAAAGAATAGAAATAATTACAAAGCTTTTAGAAAGTTTCACGAACACCTAATGTTCATTACCAGTAGTGAACTTAAATGGGAATTTGGCATAAAGTGACACTTTGAACGTGTTGTATAATAGATGCATAAATGCTACTTAGTGGTCCTGAAAGTGTTGAATGAGCGAGGGCGAGAGAGGGCCAGCTTGCAGGGCGCACCTGTATTCAATTTCTGTTACTTCGTGCTTAGAGAACAGGAAATGTTTCTTGCAGGAATGTAGCCCCAAGTAAGCACATTTATTTCAAGAATGAAAGGACACGGATTTGGGTCTTGTTGAGCTTTGGGCTAACTCAGCACTGTCAGCCGTGGCCTTCCATCATAAAACCATGCAGAGCCGCTTCTTGGATTTCTGCACGTTTACCCTGCTGGTATCGCATCCTGGCATTCAGGTGAGTGTTTGGTGAGGCGTTCCTGCAGTGGCTGTTGAATTAGCCTGCCTAGCCCGCCTTATTGAGGGCAGCCAGATTCCCGGAATATGCAGAGGTTCACTTGAATAAAGATCCTGTAACAGCCACAACTGTTCTTTTAAGGTGTTGCAGGTGGTTATTGGCAGAACGTTCCCAGCTCTTCCTCTCGCTGTGCTCTCTTCAGGACTGAAGCTGAACATAACCAATCAAGCTGAGTGAGGATCGCAAAGCGCTGTAGGAATGTGATTCTTGGAGGCATGACGATATTAGGGCTGCTTGTCTTGCAGAGATCATTCCCCCATAAGAAATGGACAGGACAGGTTTCAAAGAATTACTCTTCCTGGCAAGTTGCTGCCCTGTGTCCTTTTGCCGTCTCTTCACAGAAGTTTGTCGCTCTGTTTTGCAGCATTGCAGTAAGGAAAATCAATAGCCCGAGACGTAACCAGCAAGCAGAGATCTGAGACTGAAATGGCAAGACTCTGGTAGTGTTTCCCTAGGCCTTTGCTCCGTTGTTGCCCATTCCTATCTTGCACCTTTGAGACTGAAGGAAAAGCTACTTCTGTAAGCAGTGAGAGCGCAAATGTACGTCTCACATATATACAGAGTGCGCAGACTTGATGTCGGTGTGTGTGTCAATGCAGCCTCCATGACCCACATCAAGGAGCTGGTGCTGGTGGCAGGGCCAGGTGGTAGGGACCAGCCTGTGTCCACACGATCTGTAGGGTTCAAGCTCTGCTGTGTATGGTC